TCCGCCTTTTGGACAATGGGCAACTAATATCTAATCCGAGCGCTGTCCTAAATGATTTCTTTGCGAGTCTGAGAATACAGGAATCAGTCTTGAATATCACAGAAGAGGATTTTAGTGACCATCCCAGCATTGCAGCACTAAAGAACAAGTCGTACCTACTTGACTTTACTTTTACGAAAATTAAAACGGAAGTCGTAATAGACAATTTACTTATTTATAAGTTAAATGTCAAGAAAGCTACTGGCCATGATGGCCTTTCTCCGAGGATTCTGAAGCTATCTGCTGCAGTCCTGGCTACACCTCTGACAAATCTGTTTAACTATTGTATTCGCACAAGTACTGTTCCAAGTGATTGGAAAATGAGTAATGTCACCCCTATCCATAAAAAGAATGAAGTGACCAACAAGAACAATTATCGACCAGTCAGTGTCCTTCCTGCAATCTCTAAACTTTTTGAAAATGTAATTTTTGATCAGCTCTATGCCTCTTTCGCACCTCATCTAACATGTCAGGCTTCCTCAAGGGACACTCATGCGCTACGGCGCTAATCAAATTGAGGGATGATTGGAGAAGCGCCCTTGACGAAAAGAAGGAGATGGGTGTGATTGCCATCGACTTGTCCAAGGCTTTTGAGAGCATATGCCATAATTAACTACTTGCAAAAGTAAAGGCTTATGGCGTTCAGGAACCGGCTCTTCAGCTCTTAAGATCATATCTGCATTGCCGCAATCAAAGGGTAGTATGCAACAACAAGCTCTAGCTGGTCACCGGTACGATGTGGCGTTCCACAAGGAAGTCTCCTTAGTCCCCTACTATTTAACATCTTTATGAACGACATAAACGAAACCATCACCGTTTCTTCCCTCCGCCTCTATGCAAACGATACAACTCAATATACGGCCAATCTTAGCCCAATTGTTCTTTAACACATATTAAACCAAGACATGGGAAGACTATCTTCCTTGTTTGCCTCTAACTATCTACAGGTCAACGAGGACAAGACCCAAACGATGATCCTTGGAAACTCATCCTATCGATATGACCTGGAGTTTGTCGGCACTCCCGTCGATATTAAAGACCAACTAAAGAACCGTATGATGCACGATCCTCGCAGTAGTGAGCGCTATTTGGAATATGTTGAGATAACACATTATCTTTTTAGGAACATATAAATATCATGTTAAGGAAAGTATATTCTAAGATAGGCGCCACCTTAAGCGCTTAATACCGCAGATACCATATTACTTCTTTACAAGAGTTTGTATTATTAAATTTTGAAAACTGCAACTCTCTATTCATGGGTATAGGTAAAACACTTAACAAGAATCTGGAAGATGCGAACTATTATGGTCTACGAACTATAAAGAATTTGGGAAAAAGTACTAGTTATGAATCAATTCTTCTGACGATAAACATGAATACTTTACAACATAGACGTATTGAGCAATCTTTGATAATATTTTTAATTTTTTTTTTATGGAGAATGGTCCACACTATACAGCCGATTTATTTAGACCCCGAGTTATACCATATAATCTTAGAAGTAGTCGTGTAAACGTAGTACAAACTTCATATAATAGCAGATTCCTTCATGGCTCATACGCGTATATGATCTCACGTATTTGGAACCAGTCTCCATCTGCTGTAAAAAATGCATCTAATGCATCATCCTTCCGGAGACTTTTAACTAAGTTAAATTTTATCGGCTGTCAATGCAGTGAATAAAGGCTGATAGTTTCGAAAGAAACTGTTTGGGGCTGCGTCGGTGGGAGTAACGAAATAATTTGGATATATCAACAAAGTTGAAGTGGTAAATTAGCCACCGTAACGATTACAAAAGCTGACGTTTCGAGCGTTAGCCCTTCGTCGGAGCGAATAGAGGAATTGTGGGTTGTGTGTGCTTTTAAAGGCAGAAAATGGAGCTACGTTATTGGTGGGAACATGGCAACGAGAAAAACAAGAATAAGAATCACCTTACTTT